AATAAACAGTTCATACAAAAGTGATCCGAACACAAGGTTTCCATTATCCAATCAACTTGATTTTTACAAAAATGATATACTTGAGAAATCTTAAAATGTGAACGATTTAAATTATCGAAACATGATCCAAAATTGGGCTCAATAAACCAAATTAGACTACCAATTGATTTGAGACTAGAGACAGAGACCATAGATTAAATGATGCAAGAGATTAAGCGAATTCATTTGCTTTGTTTTTTTGGTATAAACTATGTTGATAACTGTATTATTTATGTTGCGTTTGGTTGAAAGATTTGAGTAGAGATTTAATAAGTATTTGGCATCTCCAAAAAAAGACAAAAAGCCAAAAAATCACTGAAAAAGTAAAAAAGTTAATACTATTCACATGTTTGGGCAAAAAAAAAAAAAAAAGGCTGAATAGACAGACGGTAAAAAGACAAAAATGCCATTGGTTTTGTTCCCTTCCGACAGTGCACTTTTTGGTAAAAAAAAAAAAACAGTGTAGCACAGTGTGGGATGGTCACTGACATGCACAGAAAGCATGTCAGTGCTCAAAAGGGTAGAAAGGTAATTTTACTAGTTGATACAATATTTTAATACACATTTTTTCGTAAAAAGTTAAAAAGTTATCCTAAACATATATTTTTTTACTCTACTTTTTTTTGTCAAAAAGTCAAAAAACACACTTATATAGTTTATCTCAAACAACCCCTTAAAAGGAAAAAAGAAAAGAAAATATATGTGAAATGTGAATAAAATATGCATATATTTCACATAGTTTTACACACTACTCTATTTTTTTTTTTTTTTTTCAAATCTCAATTAAACACAACGTTAGGTGTTTTATTTTTTATTTATTATATTTTGTTTTCGTTTGGGGAAGGAAAAAGTCTGTAGAACTCAGACAAAATTATTTAGATTTTTTTGAGTGAGTAATTTTGTGATGGAGATTAAATTTACATAGTATAATATTTATATGTAGACTAAATATGAATTAAAAATGATAATTTTAAATAATATTTGAATAACTAATCTGAGTTGATAGTATTAATATTGAGAAAGACTAGGAGCCAATATTTCAACTTCTACTTTGAAAGAGGTTTTTTAGGGAATGGGGATGCAGCAGCAACTGTTGTACGGTGGAAATTTTTGGGTTTATTTTGGTAATTTAAATCGTTCACATATTAAAATATATTAAGTAAAATATGTTTGTAAAAAATTAAGTTAATCGGATATCATTTATCCATTCATCCATTCATATTTGTATTCATTTTAACACTTTAAATCACAATTGTTATTTATTTTTATAGATACAATATTAAGTAGATAAATGGACATACGATATCTGATTAACTTAAAATTTTACAGACATATTTTAATTGATATATTTTAAAATGTAAACGGTTCAAATTATGAAAATAAATTTCAAAATGAGCCAATTTTACCGTATAACCTATGCAGTAACATCCTCAATCCCTTTTTTTTTTAGATGCTACTGATGTGAAGACCCGCGTGACTGGCCCGATTGGATTAGCCCTGTAATTTGATTTGATTATTCGGTTTTATACTTGAGTAGCATTACCGAAATAAATAAGATAACCTGAATAATCTGGATTTGACACAAATGATGTACGCCATGAATAAACAAATAAAACAATATTAGAGGGTCACAATTTTTGTGGCCACAATGGTTTAAAACTATCAAAACGACATCATTTTAGGTGCAAAACATGCCAAAACGACGTCGTTTTGACAGTTTTAAGCCATTGTGACCACAAAAATTATGACCCTCAAATATTTTCCAAATAAATATACACATTTTAACGTTTTTTCACCTACGAGTAATAATGACATGTTTGATGAAAGGAAAGTGTTTGGGTGGTTAAGGTGTATATTATATGTATTTATATAAATTTTCACAAATATAAATAAATTATTTTATAAAATTACATAAATTTTCATATATATATATATATATAAGTTGTGATTTTTTAAAATTTTATGGGTTAACTTACAAATGTTTGTGAAAATTTACATAATTTTATAAGATAATTTGTATATATTTGTAAGAACTTACACAAGTACATATGGTATACACTGCACACTTAAAAATTATCCTTGAAAGAAAAAGTAAAAAAAAAAAACTTTTGGTACCAAACGGTCCTTTTGTTTTCTATTTGAGATAAAAATAAAAAATGATTAATCAATCATGAAATTAAGAAAATAAAAAATCAGATGATTTTATGAATCATTCATGAATTTAAGAAAATAAAAAGAGTAAATTGTATTAATAGTCTTTATATTTTGATTCTTATGTTATTTTGGTTTGTGTAATTTCAATTTGTTCGATTTTGACAATTAATGTATGATTTTATTTCAATTTGGTTTAATTGATTATAATTTATAATATTTTTTGATAAAAAAATATTTACATAAGTAACGTGTCATTCTTTTATAGTCGAAATTATAAATTTTTTTAATTTAGTAAGATAACCTCAACTAAAACTTTTAGTGAATTATTTGTTTTGGTGAATTACACTAACAGTCCATATAGTTTGGGATTCGTGTCAATTTGGTTTCTGACTTTTTAATTATGATACATATGACCATCAATTTTTAATCTTATTTCAAATAATGACAATTGAAGATATCATTACTCAATTTCAAAGGCAAAGTTGTCAATTTGATAAAATATTAATTTGACAAAAATAAATGTTAAAAAAATATTTTTGAATTTTTAAAAATATATCCACCAAAAATAAAATTATGTAAAATTGATAAATCTTTTAGACATTTGTTTATTTATTTTTTTACGAAATTAATTATTATTATGTGTTTTGATGATGATCATATTGCTAAACTTTTTATGTGTAATCGACATATTTAATATATGAAATGTTTTTAGTTCTGGATTTTTTAATTTAATAGATTAGTTTAATAATATCAAAGTTGTCGCCATATTTGATTTTTGAAAAAATAGAAACTAATTTAATGAAAATAAAAGCAACCACTCATTATATGATTATCATCCACACACATTTAATAAAAATTAACTTCGTAAAAAAAATGTCTAAAAAATTTTATTAATTTTACATAATTTTATCTTTAGAGGGTAGAAATCATTTTTAAAAATTTAAAAATATTTTCTTGACATTTATTTTTGTCAAATTAGTTTATATTTTATCAAATTGACGACTTTGTCCTTGAAATTAAGCAATGGTATCATCGATTCTCCTTATTTGGAACAAGATTCAAAATTTAGGATCAAATATGCCACAATTAAAAAGTCAGGGATTGAAGTGACACAAGGTCCAAACTATAGGGACCGTTAGTGTAATTTGCCATATTTTCTTTCACAAATCTTAGATCTCGGTTGACAAGTGGTGATTTTAGCAAAAAAGTCAAAATGTCACTAAAAAATTCAAAAGGCTAACAACCTATGTCAAAAAGTCAAAGATTCATTTTTCTCTCTACTTTTTGCACATCTTTTCGTAAAAAATTAAAAAATCATTTCAAACATACTAATTTTTTTACATCATATTTTAGTGAAAAAGTCAAAAATTACTAAAAAACATGTTTCCAAAGGAGGCCTTAATCGACATTATTAATTGACTAGATTGAAAAAAAAAATTAAAATTAAGAATAAAAATTGAATTAATTGAAATGATAATGACTAAAATGATACCATGGGCAAAATTGATAGATTATCCATATGATTTGCCAATGAAAAATTAAATGACTTTATGAATCGGACCAGAAGATTGTCTTTGATTAGCAACAATGATAAGGAAAGAAGGACATGCTTCTGGTTCTTCTTTGACATAAAAAATATTTAACACCATGGGAACCGACTCAAATCACGACCACACCCTAACTTCGACCACTTGTATTAATCAATCATGAAGGTCAAGTGCTTGTTTTGGGCATACAAATTTGTTCACTTGAATGGTTGGTTGATTGGTTGTTCTAGAGGTGTTGAAAATATCGAGAGAATCGAACTAAATTGATCTTTTTGAGTTGGTTTGGTTGGTTTTTTAGTGGATTGGTTTGGTTTCGAGTGTTCAAATTGTCAAAACCGTAAAGATTGAGTTAGGTCTTTGTTTAAGTTTTATTTAAACCGAACGGACCTGAAAACCGAACTTGCATGTGTATATATATATATATATATTTATATTCACATGTCTTTATATTACAATGGTCTTGTATGTTACTTCAAATTTCTATTTTCATGATATTTGTACAATTGAACAAATTTTCTTGTATGTTACACAGACCTGAAAACCGAACTTACATATGTATATATATATATATATATTTATTTATATTCACATGTCTTTATATTACAATGGTCTTGTATGTTACTTCAAATTTCTATTTTCATGATATTTGTACAATTGAACAAATTTTGAAGGATTGGTCCAAGAATTGCTTCAAGTTAAATGATTTAGCTTATTAATAAGGTAAATAATTTAATGTAAAAAATAAGAGAACTCATGCACCATATATATGTGCATTATAAAATATTAGACTTTGCTTCAAATTCTTCTTTAAATAAGATGAGTCAAAATTCAAATGACATGCAATTTGATAAGCCCATTAATAGTAATTGTGGTGAACCTGTGAAATCTCTTGAATTTGAATTTTTAAATACTTGGAAGAAGAAGAAAATGTTGATACAAAATAAGAGAGAAAAATACTTGGAAGAAAATGTTGATGCAAAATAGAGGTAGACAAATTAAAAGAAAATGTTGATTCAATTATTTTTAATATAATGGAACCGGGGTTCCAAACTAAACTAACCCGAACTGTATTGGATTAGTTTGGATTGATTCTGATGTATGATTGATTTGGTTGAGTCAAAAAAAAATTGAAATTGATGATGACTGGGTTAATTCCAAAATTAGTGTCAAAGGGAATCAAACTAACCAACCAACACCCCTAGGTTTGTTGGTTGCTTAGAGAGAGAGATAGAGAGGGAGAGGGAGAGGGAGATTAATTACCTGTAGAAACCCTGTGACACTCTTGATTGCAAGCTGTTGGATGGTGGTGCCGGAAACAGTAGATCCAATGGTATAAGCATAGTCATTGGCTCCAATTTCGCCAACCCAGAAGAGAGCACCATTGATTGCTGCATTGCATTGGGTGGTAGTGGTAGTTGTTGTGGGGCCTCCTCCTCCTTTACACCCCTGAGACTCCAAGAAGTTGTTGAACCAAGTGAGCTGGTTTTGAAGGGACTGAGGAGTGATGTTGAGTGTGAGGTTGTTCTTCACAAAGAAACTGTGTATTATTGCAGTAGAACCAGCAACAGCGAAGTTGACACCCATTGACGATGACTTTTGGTTGCTGTTAATATGACGGAGGTAAGGAGGCAAGTATGGGAGGGACAGGGATTGTGCTGCGAAGTCGATGACGAGGCGGCCATCGGAGTAGCGGTTGGTGGAGTGGTGGAAGAATGTGCGGCCGTAAGGGAGGTTTGATACATAGTTGAAGCCACTTGGGCCGGTGGCGGAGCCTGTGTTGCCCGTGTCGGTGTACGAGTCTCCGAACGCGTACATCTTCTTAAAGGGGCCTGCCTGTGGTCGTGGTTGAAAGGTAGCAGCAGAAGCACAACCACAACAGAAGGAGAGGATGAAGATGGAGGTGATGGTCATGGTCATGGCTATCTGGGGGGACAAAGTTGCCAACGGGGGAGGACCCATTGTATTCTATCGAGCTCAACAAGACCTTGGGGTTCACCTAGACTTGCATGCTCTTTGTGGGCGTTATATCTATATATATACACACATACACTAGTTTAAAAGGCTCACAGTTATTATTATATTATTATAGTAGGTTTAAATTTTATATTTTCATAATTTTTAAAAAAATTAGAATATTATTTTATAAAATTAAATAGAATAAATCATTAGATATATGATAGAATTATATGGTATATTATGTATCATTTTTTTGATTTGTTATATACCCTCTAATTTTATTACCATAACATTTTGGGTGAATTTATGAGTCTTTAACATTTCTTCTGAATTTATAAAGAAAAAAAATATGGTGTGTATCTTTTCTCAACAGATAAATATAAAACAAATACTAAGATAATTCTCTCATCTAAGAAAAACTACTAAGATAATTCACTAAACTAATAAAGAAACAAAATAAAATATATATATATATATACAAATGACCAATTTTATTAATACGTCAATCATACACGCATAATAAATGAAAAATAACCATTAACAATTTTTAATGATATGAAAAATATTTTTCAATTAATTATTTTGTTAATAAATAAAGTATTAAGTTAATTAACAGTTTTTAATTATATGAGAAACATTTTTTAATAAATAATTTTGATAATTTATTATTACATAGGAGAATAGTTTTTTTTTCCTGATTATTGTGTTAGATCAAAATTTATAACAAACGATAACTGTAATTTCTAGTATTATATGATCGATTCATAATTTAAACAAATTTTATGAGTGTATTTGTAATTTGTTAAAAAATAAAATATTTATATTTCATAATTGATTAAGAATGTTTGTATAATTACAAAAAACTTCACTCAACATATAGACCACTATTAATAAATTATTCAAAATAAAAAGATAAAATTGAAAAAAAAAAATAAAGATAAAAATCGAATCTCAAGCAGATATAAACATAGGACCAAAATCCCCTCTAGTCTAGAATGCACTTTGGAGAACTAATTGCATTCTAGTTTGAAAAAATAATTTTATTTTTTGTATAGCACAAAATGGGTGTTTGGAAAGTAAGTTTTTTTTGTAGGTTTTTTTAGCTGTAAGATATTATTGATTTTTTTTTTCTTTTTTTTTGGAAAGATAGTTGGGTTTTTTTGTGATTAGATGTAATGTTTGTGAGAGAAAAAATAAAATGATTATAGGGGTTTGATGTGATATTTTTTTTGAATTTTTTTTTTTTTTTTTTTGTAACTAATTTGTTTTTTAGTTTAGTGAAAAAAAAAAAAAAAAAAAACCTTAAAACCCAACTTCCCAAACAACGCCAAATTATTATTTTGGTATAGTTTATCCTATTTGTACTAAAAAAAGATTTTACTTATAATATTTTACTTGGGTGATTGGAATGAGATAGAACAGTGATTCTTTAGGCTTTATTACGAAATGACTATTCTATTAAAATAACAAATGATAACTTCATTTAATTTCATTTTATTCTAATGAACCAGACACTGCCTTAATGTTTGACGTTTAGATAAAATAAATCAAACTCTATAAGTTTGACGAAATTATATTAGGTTTCATTTCATTAATATTTAATTCATAAAATACTTAGTAATATTTTTCATGAATAATTTGTTAATCATGTGAGTGCAAAATGATATGCTCATCTTACATTAAATTTACATTTTAAACTTGTTTATTTTTGAATTTACATATCTTATGTATTAGTTTCAATTACTTTAAAGTTATTAAAAATGAGGTCAGTATAATTATACCAAATTAGTAGAGCTTTTTTTTA